CCCGCCCTGGGGCGGGCTGGGGCCGGGGCGGGGGCGGTGGGAGCACCCGGAAAGCGAGACGACAGGTACCCGGGAGGCTGCTCGGAGCGACGAGTGGAAGGAGGGTTTGTTTGGTTTTTTTTTTAAATAGAGGTGTCTGTTCTGCCCTTAGCCCCCACCAGCCACAACAGCATTTACAAAAATCCCACGCAGCTTCGAGAAACATGATTTTACCTTACAAGCAATCATTCAAAGCATTCTCAAGAGTTGGTGTTGTCCAGATACTTCCACTCCAGAGATCAGCCTCCACCCCGTTTCCCGTTGAAGCAGTAATGCTTTTTTTTTAAATAGAGGTGTCTGTTCTGCCCTTAGCCCCCACCAGCCACAACAGCATTTACAAAAATCCCACGCAGCTTCGAGAAACATGATTTTACCTTACAAGCAATCATTCAAAGCATTCTCAAGAGTTGGTGTTGTCCAGATACTTCCACTCCAGAGATCAGCCTCCACCCCGTTTCCCGTTGAAGCAGTAATGCTGAAAGCAGCTGTTGAAGAGCAGTATGTGTATGTGTGTGTTTCCACAATGTTTGGTCCCGATTCTGCAAGGAAACTCCTGATTTTTTACTGTTTCGGTTTATACAAGGGTCAAATTGCTGCTGCAGTATTCTGCTGTAAGTCTCACAAGAGTCTATACCAAATTTGTAATAAAAAATAGAATCTTACATAGGTAACCATAATACTCTTTACAATAAAAATTTTCAAGCAAGTAGTTTTCCTGTTCAAACTTGTGTATACAAAACCTTTATTAGCAATCACTTTCTACAGAAGCTTTTGCAAGGCTTTACAAGCCACCTCTTCATTGAAGGAAGGTTATTATTTCCACTTTGCACAGCCATACTCTCCTGGGACCCAGGCTCTAAAAGCCATTAGAACAGATGGCTGCCAGTATTTTAACCCAAGATGCCCATCTTCTAGACATAGTTTAGTGGGCATGGTGGTGTTAGGTTGATGGTTGGACTTGATGATCTTAGAGGTCTCTTCCAACACAATGATTCTATGTTCTGGATCACTGCAGGTTCATTATCTTCCCAAATGATACACTTCCTTGACAAACTTACAGCAATAAATATGTTGAATGATTGGGATGGGTGATGGAGAATACAGAGAGAAAAAGGAGAAAGAAAACCTATTGCTTAATATTTGACACCAGTGCAGACATAGCCGACATTTCCTCACACCGTAATTCCCAAAGTTCTGTGTAATCATTTAAAAATATCTCTTACCAAGTCTTCTCTTCCCTCCAAAATAAAGCATGCTCCTTAAACTATATCATACACCCCGCACTCTATGTTAGCATCCTATATTCAAGAATACAGTGCAGTATAGCAGGTTCTAGTCTAACAATTCAGAAACAGACTGACTCCTTCTCAGAACACTGTTTTATCCTCTAGAAATCAAAAGCTCCTCAACTGTCATCAGTCACCAGGATTTTAGAGTTTTCTTGGGAGTGGGAGGGGGGAAGATTTGGTTTTAATTGTAAGCTCCAAAAAATTCTCAATTATTGAACCCAATTCCTGCTACTACAGGCAACTGTGTCATTTTCATCCTTCCATTCACTGCTGAACTTTCACCTGTGTCAGTCCTGTGTGCCTCTCCCAGAGTGCTTCAGACACTGTTCCACAGCCTTACAACATGGCCATACTGAACCTTCTTCTAGTCCCCAACCATATCAACTTACAATAAAATTAATTTTAATTTATCATACAAGAATTATGAATGTCATTTATTAAGCCCTCCCAGGAAGAGATCCAGCAGGGTTACTTTTCCACCAAATGTCAATTGTTGTCCTTCATCCATTGCTCAATCCATTGCATAATCTGATCCAAATTTCTCTCTAGGTCTTCTGGAGTGTTGCTGGGTAACTGGTGTACAATTTCCTTTCTGTATGACAACATAGCTTCCTCATAGAGTGTCTGAAAAATTTCACACTGAATGTTGTCTTGCAGCTTTTTCCCTTTATAGCCCCTAGAAAACAAGAACAATCCCAAAAGACAGTGTTAGATATGCAGAGAACTATATTCTATAGAGAATCAGCAGTTTATCCCTAGAAAAATCACTGTTGAAGGCACCCAACAGTACTTTACTCCTTATTTACTCCACTGACATACCTGCTTTCAAGTCTGTCATACAGCAATGAATTTTCTGTACGAAGTACAAATACTATATGAAACCACCGTTCAGGGAAAAAATCACAGCCATGATAATCAACAATAACTCCACCCTCACTCATCTTATCTTCTAGCTCATCAATTACCTACAAAAGAAACAAAGACAGGCAAGTTTATCTGAAATTACAGAAAGTCAAAAACAGTAGGTTTTGAAGTTGGACTTACCCTGTCTTCATCCAAAACTGGACAACCATATTCCTCATCAAAACCTTCATACAGTTCTCCTGCAGCAAAAATAATTGGTGTAAGTTTGTGAAGTCACAATGGTTACTAAAATTACTTATATTGTTATTTCAGGAAGATGCAAACAAAAGACAGTGTTCAGAGCAAGGAGCACTTTGCCTACAAATCCATATAAGGATGAGTTTGGTATTTATTACTTAATACAAAGCATGCTACTGCTACGTAAATCCTTTTTTAACTCGTGCCACCAAAAATATTTCTATTAAAGGAAACTCATTGCCTTTTCATCTAACATATAATACATGCAATACAGGTACATAGTTATACAAAGCAAAAATATCTAATGGGCCTTGATGGACTACTTTGTTAACACGGCCTACCTTCTTTTGCCATGTCACCCACATTAATATAGGTCATT